GCCGAGAATTAGAAAATATCGCTGAATCTTGAGGATTTTGACACCTACCCATTGGTGAAACCTTGTGATTTGCTTCAAGCCCATCGTAGCTATGCTGAGGAACCCACCAGGTTCTGACAGCGGTGCGTGAACTGAAAGTGACCTTAGGTTGACAGCAGCACCAAGACGGCCTTGTGAATTCTCTTGGAGAATTGAAATGTCACTTTCAATTCCGTCCTGAATTCTTTGTGAAACATTGAGGCGGAGAAGTTGGGGATGAAAATAGCTGAGTTCCTATTGGTTCAGTCAGCTTCGGGAGGCGTGAACAGTGTTGACTCATACCCATTTCGATACGAAATGAGCATAAATGAGCAATGTTTATATGCATTCATGTCACATTTATGTTTATATCATTTTGAACCAATACCAGGGTTCCGTGTTTTTGGTTTAAGCCGTTCCATGCAAGCCCGTCCTGTTTCCCTGCAAACAGCTGGTTGGTCAGGTCAATCAGCGTTTTCCCTATGAAAACAGATCCAGTATTTTCAGACCCTGCTTTTGTCGTGGATTTTTCGCAGAAATCGTCCAGTCGCCAATTGTCCATGCTGGACAAAACTGGTTTGAAGCTTTGTCCGTCTTTCAGATGGTTCGGTTTGTGTAAAACCACCGCTTTCTGACCCTCCAACAGGATGTGGTATGTCCCAAAGGGACACCACACGAGGTCACCACTTTTTTTTTGGCGACGCTTGAATTCGACCAATCCTTGATCTTTCCACCGGCAGTTTTCTCATTCTAAAGCATACCCAATATGACCATAGATGGGTGGTATAGACAATCCTCATATGGTTTCCTCTTGGCTTTACCACATTTGCACATTTGGTCAGGCCCACTGTTTTGTGGGAACAACCAAACGAGGTGCACACTGTGGATGTGTTCTGTTCAGAAGTTCTGGAGCTGTCAACTAATGTTAGCAAAACAAAAGCACACCAACCTCAAATTTGATGTAAATGGGTGGTGTAAAACATCAATCCATATGGGTGGTCTATTGTTGCTTTACTAACATCCTACACACGTTATACTATATGGTGTTTGCTAGCAATTTTTATTTATCGGTGCCGTTCAAAGACCGTCAAGGACTGGATTCCAGCCGCTTTTGGCCAACTGCTGCGCTTCACAGCCACTTTTACGACAGCGGAGTGGAATGTTTGGGATTGGATTGTTGAAAGTTTACCCTCTGGTTATTTAACGTAGCTATAGACAATCACCATTTTTAATAGGTAAAACCCGGTAAACCATCTATTTCTATGGGCCATCTATACCATGGCTATGTGAAATAACCAGAGGGTATATGTGTGTATATATATATATCCCAAAGCTTCTTGGGTTCTTATATCCACTAAGGATTAATATAAACTATACCCTCTGGTAATTTAACATAGCTATTGAAAATGACCATTTATAGTGGATTTTCCCATTAATCATGGTGATTTTCCATAGCTATGTTAAATTACCAGAGGGTAGCTGTTAGTTGACCCGCCCCGGATTTGGAGAGTCACGAATGATCCGATCCTGGATTCTGGTAGGGATGATGGATGTTAGGCAGATATGATCTCTTCATATCTACTGACTTGGGCATTTAATCATATGGCTATGGATCAATACCTATGAAAATACCATTTTTAGTGGGTTATTCACATCCATAAATCCCAGCTATGACTTGGGGTGAACAAAAGGTACCAGGGTTTTGACCCATCCCCATATGATCCCTAGAAAATCATGATATGAACAGAACAGATCTGGACATCTTTTGGGCACCATTTGGTGCGATAGAAGAAATGGATACTGTAATGTAATGTAAATGTAAATTAAACAAAGTAAAATCATGTAATGTAATGTATAGAATGTAAATGTAATGTAATGTATAGAATGTAAATGTAATGTAATGTAATGTAATGTATGTATGTAAGTAATGTATATATATATATGTACATGGACAATTATAGACTGCAATTATGTAAAGACTGGGTTACGAATAAAGTAGCAGTGACCATGGATCTTATGAACAAACGGATGCACCAACAGTCTGGTGGTAAAAGGGCCAACATGTCATGCTTGTTATCGTGGTGGTGAGTGTAGATGTGGCCGTCAACGACTTATTTTTCAAGACACACGGAGATGGCTCACAAATTTGGATACCCACTTTTAGTTTCTTTTTTATAACAGTGGATGGTGAGGCTGTCGGGCCTGCACTGTGTAAGATTGTCCTTGAAAATTTGTGAGCCACAGCCAAAGACATTTCTGCGCTTGGCGCTGCGCAGCGCACAAAAAAGTCGCTGGGAGTCATCGATGTTCATCGATGTTCATCCCCCCAAAATGTGGTGGGACAAAACCCATCCCGATTTTGGGTACAAAAATGGTATATATTCTTCTGGGAATGTCTAAGTTTGAGATTTATCTCATCAAAGTTTGGGTCATGGACCCATATTTTTGGCAGGTCGTTTTGGCTTCAGATGTGGATCTATCGGATTGCGAAGATAGCGGCGAAGAGAGTTAGATGTGAATATCATGGGAATAATGATTGAAATATAATCATCTATATGGGAGTAGTAGCATATAATACACCAATGGGAGTATTAGCATGATGATGTGGATATATCACCTACAATATGCTAATACTTGCTTACCCCTAATCCATCCGTTGGCCAATCACCATTTGTCCCTTTTTAAATGGCGACAATTTGGAGGGGCAAAATTCGCAATTTTGAGTGAAAGTGGCCTGTCGTGGATTGTGGTAGCATCATTGATCTGAAGGGAATTTTAACCGCGGTCCCCTCATGAGAGGCTAATCGAATCTCATTACAAACCCATTATCATTTGGTACACATGATAATGGGATTCTAATGGGATTAAAATTATAATATGATATATACAATCCCATTACAATCCCACTATAATCCCATTTTTTTGGCGGATTCGAAAAAAGTGGCAACTTTTTTCAGAGACTCCAAGCTGATACCGTTTGCTATTCTTTTTGTTGGGAAATGAACTGATTGTTTTATCTTTAGATATAACGAACTAGTTAATGGGGGTTATAATGGTTTATACACCCACTTGTAACTGGGGGGGCCCATCCTGTAGGTTCTCAGAATGAATTAATTTCTTTTTGGTGGCAAAAGCTGGTTTACAGTTTTTTGCCTGTGTAATGAAGCATGATTTCTTTTCTTTGACCTCAGGGGTGGCCCGACTGCCGCTGATAACCCACAACAAAAAGCTGCCTCACACTCGAAAGCCAATGTTTTGCATGTTTTCTATATCTTGCGGCATGCATTTTGGATTTTGATTCTTTTTTTCACCTGTTTAGTGCACCCAAATGCTTCATTTCGCACCCGGGAGGCACGGGTGCGACAGCAGTGCTCACGCAGCGGATTCCGGTCAGCAGGCCATTTCGATGCAGGATGCACTCAATTTTCGATGTGGCAAGGCGGAGGTTGCGGCAGGTTACTCAGATGACACCACTGGGATTGCGGTTGGGTTGGTGTTCATCCTCACCTAAATTGAGGTTGAATCATCATTAAATCATCATTAAACATGGGTCATTAAATGTCCCCATTGAACATCACCCAACCATTAGGTATATGGTCTATAATGGCTACTATAAGGTGATGTCCAATATACCCAAAATGGGACAGTTACCAACCCCAGTTAAATCATCATTTCCGTTGCTTCAGAGATTGAAACAGCTCTCTACTTAAAATGTTCATCCCACCAGTTGCAAGTGGTCAAAATATGCCATAAGCACACGGGTTTCTGCAGACTTGGTCATACATGACCATAGCTCTGCACATCTTGATTAAGCACATGGGTTTGTCTGAAAATGCTGTATACCCCCTTTTCATGGCAATTTTGATAGGACAAAATCGTGATAGACCATCAAAATTGGTGGTACATTGTTTTCAGACAAACCACCTGTGCCACCTGTGCCACTTGGATTTCCACGTCTCCACGTCCCAAGCTGCTAGGCCCAGCACCAGACCCCAGAGCGCCGCTTTACCGGCCATGCGGGTCCCGGGCGCCGCAGCGGCGGCGGACAAGGCGACCACGCCGGCACGGCCGTTGACGGCCACCAGCCGTGGCGCAACAAGCAGCAAAGTGTGGGCCTGGCCCTGGTTGATGGCTGAAGGATCCCGTGGTCTCCTATTTCTAGGTGAATTAAGCCCAGTAAACAGCTGTTAAGTAGGGATTGCGGGGTGATGCCACAGTGTGGAAAGGCTCTGTTGCTTCAAAATGCAGTAATAACATGTAACAACTCCAATTTCACGAGTTTTTTTTTGGGTATATCAGTATATATATATATATCAGTATATCTATACTATTCTATACTTAGTGGCGATTATAAACTAACTCGGGCCTCGGGGTTCCGCTCTGCGGGGATGGAAAGGTTGTGACCGTTGTGACCAATCCCCACCGTGTTTGAGGTCAATTTTGTGAGACTAGTGCCAGATGCGATTCCAAGTCATTCTTAAATGCATTTTTGCTACTGTTCGCCAAGGATTGAGTTGCTTGATTGCGAGGAAAAACAATTGCTTAGTTGCGGGGGTTGCAACATAGTATTTTGAAAGAAACACCTACAGCACCCCCCAAACGATACAAAAGCAAAACCTCCTACTAAGATAGTGGTAGATTACTTTTCGATCTATTTTGGAGTTCCTGTAAATCTGGATGAATTACAACTACCTCACGTCGCGACGTCACTGAAATGATGGTTAAGCAGGAGTGACTATCCCAAAATAGTCGAAATTTTCACGTCAGTGAACTATCATAATTTATCTAGATGAAGTGGAACACTCAATAGTCAACCATCAACCATCCGAAATAAAGGTTTATTGTTAGTATGCACTCTATTTCGTGAATGATCAATCATTCTCATAATTTATAGCGCCCCGAAACAAGATCTAAAAAGTCAAATCCGAACATCTCAAATAGCGAAAAAGTATGAAAAAGCACTTTTGGGCATCTTTTTGAGGGTTACCATAGCTTAGAAACCCAACGTTGGCAGTGCTCACTTCAAGTGGAGCCAGGGTGGTGCGGGCCAAGACGCCGTGACCGGGTCACGAGAGGATTGGGAGATTTGGATCTTTCTGGAGATACGACCAGATTTTTGTGATCTTGGTTAACATACAAAAAACTATGGAAAATCACCATGCTATTAATGGGACAACTCATTAAAAATGGTCATTTTCAATAGCTTTTTGTATGTTTACCAGAGGGTAATGGCTTTTTGGGCAATTTCGATGGGAAAATCGTGATCAACTTCAGCCGAATTGGTTGATGTTTTTACCGCAGGAAGCCTCCCCATGCTGCTGTGTTTTTGCCATGATTTCCTGTAGATTCTCTGAACCGCCGACACAGCAGGGTAGAAATCGTGCAAGGTACCCCATACCAGGAGATGTGGGTTACTATCAGCGTCAGGGAGCCCAGTTGAGAAAACTGCGATGGGAATCTAAGGGATCAGCCATGGTTTCAGGGCGAAAAACACATGGGACCACCATGGGCGCCAGATGCGAACGGCTCCGCGTCAAGTCATGGGTTCAACAAAAGAGTTCGGCATTCCGATGAAATACCCATGGGGCTACACTGGTGAGATTGGATTCGCAACACCGGATGGTTGCCACATGGTGGTAACGGTTGCCAGAAAATTTGAGGTGCCGATGTGAAAGGACGGATCAAGAAACCCAAGCTGGACAAAGACATGGCCAAGCTCAAGGTGGCCGTGGCGGTGGGAATAGGAAAACTATGGGAATCACACCCTTTTTTTCCTCTTCCATGATAAATTTTTCCACAGTTTGATTCCCATATGCCATATTTTTTCCCATAGTTTTCCTATGGGTATCATGACTTGGAAACCTTAGCCATGAAACATATATGGATGGAGTTGGCTGAGACCCCCAATTCGTTGCTCTCTGAAGAGCAACTCATGGATGGAATTTGGGTAAATCAAAAGGCTTTTTTTTGTTAAACCAAAAAAATCACTACCATAGTGATGGAGAATATGGAGAATGACCTATGTATGATCTGCTTGGTGGTTTGGAACATGGAATTTTGAATGACTTTCCATATAAAAATTGGGAATGTCAGAATCCCAACTGACGAACTCCATCATTTTTCAGATGGGTGGCTCAACCACCAACCAGATTATTATTAACCATCATTAACCATATAATAACCATTAATATTAACCATTATTAACAGAATATAAAACCAACCAATGGTAGGTAGGTCAACCACCAACCAGTCATATCCATAGATTATCCATAGATATACATAGGACTTATGGATAATCTATGGATAATCTATGGATAATCTATGGAAAATGGACCATTTATAGATGTTGTTTACCACTTTGCTCGGCAGGATCTCTTCGCATACTGCGAAGCGGCCAACTTCCGGGAGGTCAGCTGGGTTTTTGTGATCCACCCTTGACATTGATATATCTTTATGTAGTTCCTCGAAACAAAATATGTATTATGGATATGTAATATGTATTATAACTATGTATTATGATACGTACATATATATATATATAGATATGTAATATTATATATGTATATATATATATAGATAGTGTATATGTATAATATCTAAAATTCAATTGACATAGAGAACTTTGAATTCACCGCGCGAAAAGGTGCGTGCCATGGTCTCCCACTATCCGTACCTCCTGGGGCTGACGGATGCGCATGGCTTCTCCGCGCTTCACCACGCGGTGATGTCCGGGGAGCCGGTCTTCATCTCAAAGGTCACCGGGGCCATGGTGCCATGGGTTTCACCAGGAAAAAAAAGGAGGCTTCACCGGGAAAAAATGGAGGTATGGCCACAGAAATGTTTTTTTTTTTTTTGGGGGATGAGTTTTTGAGTTTTTGGATGAGTTGTTGGTGAGATTTTTCAGCAGAAATTGAGATGTGCTGATCATGCAAAACTAAGATTTACGGACATTGGACTTTTCACAACTAGACGTAGGCACCAAGAAGATCAGGTAGAAACAATCCAAGAATGGAGATTGAAATCACGATATAACCACTTTGCGCCTGTATGTGACCATGGCCGCCATGGCCCGGCTTTATCCCAGCTCCGTTGCAGGTCTTGCAGCTCTACAGGGACCCCAAGACCTTTTCCCTGAAGAATCTGATCTACACCACCGAGGAGGAGATTCGGCCATTTGTGATTGGTGGATGAGAAAACATGGCATTTTGATACATATAAAATATACATATACAGACATGTATATATATATATAGATACGGTATATATGTATGTATGCGTGAATATATATATATATAATATAGCTGTGTCTATATCTATATCTAGATAGACTGATAGATCTTTGTGTTCTTCAAGAAGACTCTCCGACTCTCCCGTTCTTTTTTTGATAAATCCGACATCTCTCGCCATGGGCTCCAGGAGTTACTGAACGACATGGAGCTGGGTGTGCAAGTCGTTGGTCACAAGTCGGCCGAGGATACCGAGGCGTCGCGCCGTTTGCCCAATCCGTTACGGGATCCGTGGCGGGGTGGCACAGAATGATACGAAAGATACGAAAGATAAGATGTCACAAGATAACATGATAAATTACATTTTTTTTTTAATCAGAGATAATATACAGAGATGATACAGATACGAAAGAATCAATATTATGTCATAAGATTTACAGTCAATATATCATATGATAGTCATCAATATAATGTAATACGATATAAAGATGAAGGATAAGATTGACTGTCAGATGATGTCATACAATGTCATCAGTATATTATCGAATGATGTCTTAATCAAAGAATCCAATAGATTACTGAAGCTTTACAAATTTCGCACAACAACCTCAGTGACTCCCAGTTTCATCCACCCAAAATAGCTCAGTGACTCCAGAATGAAATCCAGGTTCCTCAAAGGAACCTTTGCTGGTTAGTATACCGAACAACTGTTTTTGGGGATTTAATGACGGCTGTTTTTTTCCTCATTTATTTATACCCTCTGGTTATTTCACATAGCCATGGAAAATGGCCCATAGAAATAGATGATTTTCCCATTAAAACCTCCATTTATAGGGGAATTTCCATGGCTATGTTAGTCATAACCAGATGGTATATATTTATTTTTTGTCCATCCTTTACCCTCAGCGAAGTTGTTAGATCTGGAAAATCGCCATCTTATAGTCCGGTTTATTTCATCGAAGCGAATGGGTCGATCTCTCCACATGTTCGTGAACAATCCCCAAGAATCACCATAAAATTGCATGACAACCTGACACACATCCCACTAAACCTTTATTGATTCCCTATGATCCCATTATGGGTGGGATTTCACCCCCCAAATGGTAGTTGTTTATGGCATTCCCATGTGTGACTCTATGAGTGACTGAAAAACCACCAGAGATTCCCAATGATCTCATGACTGTAATGTGGTAAACGGTAAAGCCGTTAAATCCCCTTGAATCCCAGTGAGTCCTATTACCCTCAGTTTACCCTCTGGTTATGACTAACATAGCCATGGAAAATCCCTCATAAATGGAGGTTTCAATGGGAAAATCATCTATAAAGGGGCCATTTTCCATGGCTATGTTGAATAACCAGAGGGTAAATCCCATTAATTATCAACATTCCATACGAATATATCATTAAATCCCTAATAATCACCATAAAATCCCATGACACCCCTGAAATCCCATTGAACTCACCATTTGATATTCCCATCCCATCAATCAGTGGAGAATCATCCCAGGAATAGTAAGTACTGAAACACCAGAACTACATAAAAAGTTTGGAACAAGATTGATAATATTAATGTGTTTAATATTATGTATCTATTCTGTTGTTTTTGTTCTTGTCCTTGTTTTAGGTTTAGGTTTTGCAAAATCTTTAATGACATTTTCAACTTCAAACAAACGAGTTTCTAAATGTTCTATCTTTGTTTGTTGCTCTCTACATACTCCCCATAATATACCTGATAATTTTATATAACTTAACTTCTTAATACCTTCATCATCAACCCTAACAATATTCTCCCATTCGGGCGGTATTGCTTCCATAATCTCATCGGCAATAAATCCAAGATGGTTTTTAGTTATTCCAATTTCTTTTTCATCTTCCATTTTGAAAGTTTTAGGTTCAATTTGTTTAACAATGTCAGTAAAGTTATGTTCAATACTTTTGATGTCGTATTTTTTTTAGTAAAATCGGAAGTATCAACCACATCGCCTTCTAATGTATAAGGTGCTGGAACAGAAACTTTTGATGGAGTAACAACAAGTCTTATACCACCATTAGCATACAATCTTATGTCCCCGTTAGGGTCTTCATTGATTAACTTGAAATGATTAACACCTGCTGTATTTTCATTAAATATATAACTATTCTTACCAGTTTCTTTATGAAAATATGCCCTTTTGTCTTGATTGACATATACATCTTTTGAAAAAATAACATCTTCATCTGCTTTTCTGTATCTCATATATTCTACTGAACCGTCATCTGTTGTATTACTGCCTTGAAAAACCATATCAGCACCAACATTTCTATGGATAAAATAGTCTCCATAAATATATTGAGACGACAACGCCCGACCAGTTGATACATCAATGATATTTTTAGTGCCGTCTAATGTAAAGAAATTAACACCGCCTCTTTTAAATACTACATTGGTAGGAGTGGCACTATCAATTACATCAAACTTAGCAGTTTCAGCAACTAATGATATACCTGTATTCACCTCTACATTACCATTTCTAAGATACATAAAATCTATGGTGTTCCTTCTAAAACTGACATCAGCATTACCGATACTATCATAAGTGTTTGATTTAGCACCTTTTGTTAGTTCCACTGCTTGTAGTGTTCCTTCAAACTTCATATATTCAACATCACCTCTTTTAAAGACTAAATCAACATCAGTAGCATTTTTTGCATTGATGACATCAGTTTGTAATTCAGTATGACACACGACATCAACATTAAAATACGCCTGAGTGGATGATAATTGATACTTTAAGTGTTGAGGAAATGGACTTCCTCCAACATAAAACCGATGTAATCCAGCAGAACCAAAAATACAATAATCATACGCGGCAGTGCCACTTCCTATATTGATAGAACGAATATAACCTTTACCAGTTCCTAAATTAATCGCACCTCCTAATGGAAATTCTATGGTTGCATTAAAATAAGAAACACCATTAACCGTTAAGTCATAAGTAGAAAATTGAGAACCACCACCTATGACCAAATCGCCTTCTATTGTCTGAACTGCCTGACCGGTATATTTTACTAAATTAGTATCATCTACCCCTCCATCTCCAATATCTGGACTTGTGGGTTTATGAAATGTAATTAGATTATTCTGTAAAGTCATAACTAAATTAGTTGTAGCATCCGGCACTGTGGGGCTTCCAACATAAAATTTAATTTCTCCAGTGCTCTCATTCATTACATAATTCATTATTGTTGATGCGTTCTTACTTTCAATATAATCACATAATATGTTATTAACACATTCTATGTTATTTGAAAAGTATGAAGCCCCATTAACAGTTAATATATTACTTCCGTTTTTGGCACCATTAACAGCAACAGTTCCTGCTACTTGTTGGTCGGTTTCTCCTGTCAGTTTTAAGCAGTTTGATGTATCCCCTGATAAATCTAAATTGGTAGGTTTGTTAAATTCAACAATCCCGTTTTTCAATGTCATAATTAAATTGGTTGTTGTATCGGGGACTATCGGACTGCCTACATAGAATTTCATTTCTCCTGTGCTTTCATTCATAATATGGTTTATGATTGTTGATGAATTTTTGCTTTCAAAATTATCACATACAATAAAATTTTCGCATTGAGTTTTAGTATTCAATACCGTCAGATTATCTTGAAGTTCAATCATACTGACATTGTTTCTTTTTATGATTAAATCTAACGGTGCTATGGTGTCTATCTCTTGGGTTTTAAGATTGCCACCGCATTGTATTAATTTACTTGCTACGATTTTAGTTTCAGAAACATCATATTGTATGTAAGTATCGGTGTTGCTTTGAAAAAGTATATCATTTGTATTGAGGGCATTGCATGTATTTGACTGAATATTTGAACCTTTGATATAACCGCTACTGTCCAAAGATGCTACTAAATGATTACCTAATACTTGTGCATCGCCATTAACATAAAAATCTTTTGAAGATGAAACAGCATTTATAATAATCTTTGATGTTCCACCTACACTTCCTATATTCAATGTTCCTTCCATATTTTGAGGATTATTTACATTCAGTTTTGTATCTAACAATGTGTCAGCCTCAGTTTTATTATATTTATTATTTAATAAAGCATCTGTCTCAGTTTTATTATAGTAATTTGTTAAATCAGTCGTGCCTGTTCCTCCACCAACTCCACCATTAGCAACTGCTGTATTTACATACTGCTCTGTTGCTAAAGTTGATGAACCCGTTGCTAAAAGTTTGATAAATTCTGTTCCTATGATAGTATTGCCACCGTCCAATTGAACCATTAAATATAAAATAATTGAGATATTATTTTATATTTATTTTTTTTAGTTTTTGAAGAAAACATATTCATACATAAATTGTTGTATTTTTCTTGCTTTTGTTTTATGAATTGTTGTTGTAATACCAAATAGTGTTGAGCCATAGCATCAACTGGGTTGATGGGTTGAACTGGAACTGGTTGCTTTTTCTTTATTAAAGGTTGGGTTGGTTGTTCTTCTTCTTCTTCATCGCTGTAATATATTTCAGGAGGTGGTTTAGGTTTTGGTTTTGCTGTTTGTTTTGCTTTGGGTTTTGCGTGTGGTTTGACTGACTGGTTTTTCTGATAGTTGGCCACCGCAGTTTTTTTCGTGTGAATACCTGTATGTCTTCAATGAGACTTCTTTGAGACATTTAGGACACTGTATTCTATCCTTCTGTGTTTGTCTTTTTGGTTTTGTTTCTTCTTTTACTTCTTCTTTCAGTTGTTCTTTTACTTCTTCTTTTGGTTGTTCAATTGGTTCTTCATCTACTTCATTAACCAGTTCAGGTTGTTCTTCTTCTTTTGCTTCTTCAATTGGTTCAAGTGTTGGCGCTTCTTCTTTTACTGCTTCATTTTGTAAATCTACTACTTTGATACTCATTATATAATGTTCTATTTTTTTCTTCCAAAATTCTATATATTTAGTTTGAAGGAAAATATATAGAATGTTGGTTTAGTTTTTATTATTGCTCTTGGGGATTGCTTTGATTTTGTAAGTATTGTTTATGCTTATTTGATTTTTCGTGTCTTGTCTTATGAAAGTATGTATAAGTAGAACCACACACACATAGATGTTTTACCTTACCTTTCTTTTCTCTTTCTTTTTTGCTGTCTTCTCTGATTTTTTCTGGATTGTTTTGACGATATTTCTTTGCGAACATAGCTTTTTTTTCTGGGTGCTCTTGAAATAATTGAGCCCGAGTTCTACCAGCAATTTTCTTATTTACACAATCAGTTTCT